ACTGAGGAGAGAGCATTTTTGACGATGAAATAGGATTATGTGCTAAGTGAGGATTGCAGTTTTTTGAAGAATATCTTTACTTCCAGTTTCTTCATCAAGCTCCAGATTAGACGTAGTACAAATTAGATTTAGGATTTAAATTTAGGATTTAAGAATTTAGGCACATTTCAATCTTGTTTCATACTGGACATTGGAGAAGTTTTTTTTGATGATCTTGATTTAAATTATCAGCCTTTCCAGCAAGTTAACAGAATCTCTACTCTAAAATCGCATTAGTTTAATTAAATAATGCTGTGTGTTTGGAAATATCCTTCCAAAGCCATGATGATTCATATTGATGCTTGTTCTGTAGAGTTGTTAATCATCTTTCTGTTGGAGTAGTGAATATTTTAATTTGGTTTTCGTTATTTAACGCTCCTTTTATGCTATACAGTTAACATTGTTTTGACATTTTTTGTGTTGAATCAGTTCTGAAAGGGCAGTTAGTATACAGTTTTCTCAAATGTGTAGCGTTTACAGTGTAGTTGTATGAATCACAAATGTACTAAAGCTAATTACAATCAACATTTACACAAAGCATTTAAAAGCTCTTAGACTTTTTAATGTTAAAATGACGGTTAGACTCCTACGTCTTTAGTAATATTAAATCCAAACTGAATTTGGTGCTGTTCATTGAAGCTTTGTGTGCTGATAAGTAAGGTTTCCCACTTCAATTGCAATGCTTCCAGTAACATAAACAGTGTTTGAGATTCTTCATCTATAATGTTAAGGTCACATGCCTGGGGATTTTTTTTTACTTATTTCATTTGTTTTTAGTTATTTGCCTAGTCATAAATAGCACTAAGGCAAAACTTCTACATGCAGGCAGACCGACAAAGGCAATTCATCTCTGCATTAAATGGATTGTGTTTATTTCTGTCATGCAAAAGCTCTTAAGACAGTAGCTCGGTATTAGCTCTGCATTCATGTCACGCAATTTGCTGGTGGTTTATTTTATCAATATCGAAGCAATGCCTAAATCTATCTGATAGCTACATAGCACCTCTGTACCTCCACTTTATGTAGCGCCTGTGCCATTTTGTCTTCACTGTAGTCAATGTACAGTACAGAGGAAGTTAATGAAAACTTTTTCACTCTTTATCACAGTAGCAACAATTGTTGAAGCTGCAACATAACTTTTCATTAACACTTAAATTTGAATTCCGTCAGCAAAGATCCGTAAGTGTCTCCACCTTGATATTTTTCCAATTGGAAGTTGAAACAGACCAGGTTTAACAAAACTAGGATTTGCTGGGGGATGTCGCAATGTACTGTAGTTCACAGGAATAGTGACTGTTTTGCTATGCGTACGTTCAATCATTCTCGCTTCTAAAATGAATGATCAATTAAACTGGAGGATCTAGGAGGTTCCCCTCTCTTTTCAAATAGTGACATAAGATTTTAACATCCACCTCAAAGGCAGAGATGACCTGGAACAACAGTGGAACAATGACAAAGGAAAAGCAATAACTTGCATTTGTATAGTGCCCTTCTCTTAGGATAATTTCTTATTGCTCCATAGTGCCAGAGTTGTACCCTGAGCAAGGGAGAAGGGGGGAGGGGGGGGGGGGGGTGACCTTAGCTGCTTAGGTTTTTAGATGGAATTTAAAGAGGGGGAAGTGTGGAGGGATTGAGTTGGTAGTGTAATGACTGAAAGCCTGGCCATCTATGGTGGCACGGAGGCCTCGAGGGATGTGCAGAAGGCAAGAGCTAGCTGAGTGAAGGAAACGGGCAGAAGAGTGGGATATGGGATGTGCAGTACTCCCTCAGTCTGCCAACCTTGTATTTGGGGCAGAGGCAGGGACCGGGAAAGCACTTAACATACCAAGCAGAGCATGATTTTAGACATAAAACGTTAAACAAACTGTACATTTCACAGCGCTGGGTCTCAGGCTGGCTAATGAACCATGCTGTGTCTGAAACCCAGCTTTATTTTGCTGTGAACTAAGACCTGTATCTGCTGAGTTGTAAATGGAGGAAAGAAAGAATAGTTGTAAATAGAATGTCGTGCAGCTTGAATTCATTCATTGTAGTCATTTCAGTCAGGTTATCATAGAGCAGTTTTGGATAATTTTGGGTTTGTTTAATTCTTCTAAGTGCAAAGTCAGCCGTTCTCTGCACAAGTTGTCCAGACACTTTTGTCGCTCAGTCACTTGATAATGATGCACAGAAAGCACGTGTCGTCTTGCCTTCTTTTGTTTTAATTAAATTTTCGTGTCTGTTTTATTTAATCGTGAAAGTTTTTGAGACTTTATAGAAATGTGCAATCATTCTTTTAACAAATTTTAACTTTGAGTTAAAGTTATACAGAGTAACTCATCCATTGCTTCTCAGTAAACAAAAGGCAAAATACTGCAGATGCTGGAAATCTGACATAAAAACAAAAGTCGTTGGGAACATGCAGCAGATCAGGCAGCATCTATGGAGAGAGGAAAATTAACGTTTCAGGCCGATGACCTTTCATCAGAACTGTTTCTCAGTGACTAGTTAAGCCATTCAGACTGGGAAGGTCTTGATTCCTTAAATAATAATAATAATCCTTACATTTGATATAGCGCTTTTCACGTCTTCTAGACGTCTCAAAGTGCTTCACAGAATATACTGTAAAGTGAATTGACTATATTTGTGGACGAAACTCGACAGCCAATTGCGCACAGCAGTGTCCCACAAACAGTCGTGGATTGAAAATGACCAATTTATTATTGTTTGTTTTTTTGGAGGGATTATTATTAGGCTCTGTGTGGAGTAAGAAAACTTGCCCAAGGTTTCGCCCTCTGCCTGGAATTGAACCCAGGTGTCTCACTTGTAAGTGCTCTAACCACTGAGCTATAGGTCTCCATATTAAAGGAGTTAGCTGATTCTGTTATGGCACACAGTTTATTTTTAGATAGATTGCTGGGTGGCTGGTATAGTTCTGAACACATGCAGCAAGGGAATCTATCATCATAGGGACTGATGCTCTGTTGTCACTGTGATCCAATTGCATAAGAACAGTTGTAAGGAAACTCCAATACGTTGTCGAGATGGAAAAAGCTGGGTGGGTGGGTGGGAGGGTGGGAGAAGAATTTTGAACTGTTATTGGAAAAATAACATGTAACCACTGCACAATAAATAAAATTATTATTGATCTGAGAGTGCGTGGCCCATTTGAACACCAGCGTTAGATATTAATGTAATTTGATACAGTTGAAAATTTGATAATGGCTGGTTTTGGACCTTTTTCTCCACCGTTCTCCTTCTGGAGGAATTTAAATTCTACAGTTCCAAAGGTACCAGTTGCCTTTTGGTACTGTGTCCAATAGCTAATATTTAATATATGAGCCTTGATTGTGAGTGTTTGTAGATTATTTGACTGCAACGGGTAAGAGAATTGCATTCCTTACTGAGATTCTTTCTCGCTTTGATTCCATTCAGCATTATTGTAAGCACTTTTGGTTTGATGGCATCTCTGTTTATCCCGAGTGTGCAGCTGGGTGATTTTGTAAAAGAGGAAGTTCAAAACAAGCATTGTGAACGTGACACTATATACAGTCTCCAGTTCACATTGAAGGTTGCATGATGCTGTGAGAAGCATAGTATCTGTTCCACTTTAGCAATTAGTAAGTTCTATTTGTTCTCTTCACTGTCTTTTTTACCAAGAATGGGGGAGGGGGAAACGAGAGAAAACTTGTAATATAGACACTTTTCTTGGAGCAAACGAGGTACATGATGGATCAGTAACATACTTGATTTTTTTTGCCTTAAGATTCTCCCTGTAGAGTTTGATGAGCATTTAGAGATGGAAGCGTACTAATTGATTTTTTTTAACGAATATCTGGAAGCAAACCTATTTTAGGTAATTTCTGTGAGTCGGGTATTGGCCTGCAGGAGGGAATGCTAGGAAGTGAAAGAATATTGAAGCTAGGAAGTGAGAGAACCATGTTGCAGCTCAATTTGTGTCTTTGGCTGGAATAGCCTTAATGGTTCAATGACTTTTTCCAGTTCAATGCCTGCTTGCATGCATGTGAGTGAATGAGAGAGAGAAAACGTGCAGTGGATCCTTTAAGTTGTGTGTTAAGCTTGTTTGGAAATTCCATTGTCAACTGTCCCTAATATCTTTTCATCTGGTTGAAAGTTTTAAGTAGTTGTTTGACCAAAAACATAACGATTGTATTAACAACAGGAGAGACTATTCAAAACAAATATCCTGGGTAACTCATCAAGAATCTAAATTCAGCCCAAAATATCCTGTGGAGCTCAGTGTGTTAAGTACTGTTCTTGGAACCAGGAAGTGCTGATTTTCAATCCTGGTTCACTCAGCAATAAGATTGATCTAAAATGAGCACTGTTTTGTTGGGACAGTAAAATTGAGCTTTCTGTAGCTGAACTGGCTCCGAGAAAGTTGATGTGCAAAAACATTAATAACGGCCTCTCAATGAGATCTGTTGGTGAATCATAGCAGGAGGCCATTTGGCTTATTGAATCCAAAATGGGGTTACGTCACCTACTGGTGCCAATTCCTCAAATCACCATTACCTGCTCATATTCCATTACAATTCATTTGTTTATCCAATTCCCCTTTTGTAACACTAATACCCAAAACTCTGGAATATGTACCTCAGTCTCTCTGCCATGTCCCATCTGAAGACTTTCCTCTTTAACTGTGCCTACATTCACCTCCACTCTCTCCCCGGCCTGGCATCAAGTTCCCCCACTATTGAATGCTCAGATGATACCTTTGTAAAGGGTGCCATATAAGTACATTTTGGCTTTCATGTTACGAGTCACATATAGCAAAGCACTTTCTGTTGAGCTATGTCCTGAGCACTATTCCTGCAAGCTTAGATAGAAGCCTAAACTAGATAAATACCTTGTTAGTTTTATTTAGCGTACCATATGATGTATATGAACTGCTCTGTGTATTTTAAGTGTTCATTTTTGTTCTGTACATGGATTAATTGAGATTTTATTTATTTTTTCAGCTGCTGTTTCTGTTGCTTGTTGATGTTACAGCTCAAGTTGAGTCAACTGCAGAGGCTGCAGTGCCCTTCCCTGGTAAATATCGCCACCGTAACCCTGCAACAGGGACAAAAATTTACTGCGATAAGTGCCCTGCAGGAACCCATGTGTCGAAACATTGCACATCAACATCGCTGCGAGAGTGCACTCCTTGTAAAAATGGCACATTCACCAGACATGAGAATGGCATTGACCAATGCCATAACTGCAGCAAGCCCTGTGTGGCCCCAATGATGGAGGAATCTTCCTGCATTGCCTTTTCTGACCGTGTGTGCATTTGCCCACCTCGTAAATTTCTGTCTAACAATACGTGTGTTCGACATACGGCTTGTGCCATTGGTTCAGGTGTTAGGAAGAAGGGAACTCCGACAGAAGATGTCAAGTGTAAACTGTGCCCTCATGGCACCTTCTCCAATGTGTCTTCTCCTTTACTGAAGTGCGCAGTTCTCACTAATTGTTCAGAACTGGGCAAGGTGGTCCTCGTACCAGGAAACCGAGAAAGGAATAACGTGTGTGGCTCGCCAAGCACAGTTCAGAATACAACTGTTTGGTCAAGTACAGGGGCAACTCACCACATCAATGGAGCTCCGTCGATATCCACTGCAACAGGTAATCTTCTAGAAGAATTGAAAGTCACTGTGTGGTGAGAAGCAGGTCACTATGAACTGAATTCTAAGTTACACCCACTGTGCCACTCCATTCAGTAAGGCATGTTGTACCAGATTTTCTTCCAGTTCTGGAATTACCTATTGTGTAAATGTGCTTGCTGGTATAGTTTTTAAATACATTCATTTTCACTTCATCAGGTTTTGCAACTGTGATTAAAAAGTACAGGGAATGTAATTTGTGGATGTTAGTTATAATGAAACCCAAATATTAAAACCCAAATCCAGCTTTAAGCACTCTGAGAACCTACGCTGCATCAAGGGTGCTTCGTAAATGCAAGTTGTTGTTGCCTTTTGACAGTGGCGTTTTATCCCCAGGTTACCTGTAGTCTTCTAAGAAATGGTAACTGGGTCTCATGTAAAGATTTAATTGATGATAATGGATTCTTCTGGTTACCAGCCTGTTGAATTGTTTGTGGATGTTAGTTAACATTAAACTCAAATTAATTTCTATGTACCCCTTTCTCTCAGTTGCAGAACCTGACAGGGTGAGAATGAAAGCTTTTTTTGAATTTAAAAATGCCCAAGCCAGCAGGTACATTTGTAGGACAGGTGACAGCCCTTTACTGAAAATTCCTTTATATTCAGGAAAGAAGAAATTGCATTGTTTTAGTTTAAAGAGTTTGGGAATTTTAGATTTATTTAAGAATCACTTGCCTCGCAAATGAGAGGACCTGGGTTTGATTCCCAGGCAGGGCGAAAGATTAGACACGTTTCCTTACTCCACATGCCTCTGTTTACCTAGCAGTAAGTTGGAACCCAGTTGTTAGTCAATAGGTGTATCGTTTTTCCGAGGAAATAATCCCTTTTCAAAGAAACGTTGGTCACTCAATGTTTATGGGACACTGCTGTGCGCAATTGGCTGCCACATTTCACCCCCAAAATATACAGTCAATTCACTTTGCAGTATGTTCTGTGAAGCGCTTTGAGACGTCTCAAAGACACGATAAGGCACTATATGAAATGCTATTTTATTTAAGAGTGTATTGAGTCATTGAGTTACTTTGGTACAGCATATGCAGAGGACAGGCAGTAAGCATAACCTATCTAATTACCAATCTGTATTATTTTGTAACCACAATAAAAGTAAATATTTTCTCCACTTTATGGTTCTTGATTCATTTCTCTATTGTGAGTTGAAGAAATTTTGTTTTTATATTTTGCAGCCATTTTTAACCAATTGATAACTACTGCTGAATCTATAACCAGCAATGTAATCAGCCAAGCGACCAAGGAAGCACAGAATCTGCACCAAATTCATACTCCTTCAGCTTCAACAAAATTGCAAACGGTCATGGAAACCTCAGGAGCTGAAGTTGACTTCAAACCTCCCAGGAAAGGCCCAATGAGGCCAAGCGCACACAAGCACTTTGACATCAATGAGCACTTGCCATGGATGATTGTTCTCTTTCTGCTGTTGGTGTTGGTGGTGACGGTTGTCTGCAGTATCAAAAAAAGCTCCCGGGTGCTAAAGAAAGGACCCAAACAGGATCCCAGTAGCATTGTTGAGAAGGCTGGCCTCAAGAAGCCAAGGTCTCCTACCCGAAATAAAGAGAAGTGGATTTATTATTCAAATGGACAAGGTAAGTGGACAAATGTTTAAAGCAAGTGCAATAAATGATTTAGATTTTGGAAATAATTTAAATTTCTAATTTTGTATGAATATTCTTGTGCATCGGGTGATTGCACCCAAATGACATCCTAGGGGGTGGGATTCAGTAATTATTTCTTGAGCACCCATGACTGAATGCCTACTGTCGGGCATCTCACTGGGACAGAACTAAGCAAAGGTCTGTGACTGACCTACATGGAGGTTAGAAGTATTGGTTGAGATTTAGGAGCAAATTTCCTATCCTCCTAATTTGATTTGTTTATACCTGTGTTGCCTGAATCTTCTGGTTTAAAAACAAGTGGAAATGTCTTAGTCACGGTAACCCCATGTTTAGAGAACAGCAGTTATATTCATGGCAATTTTTTCGGTGGTCCTCTATCTGTGGCCTTATTGTGTTTGCTAGCGTTTTTGGCCCTACTTCCTGCCTGCCTGGCCATTGGATGTTATCAGAGCCAGATCCTGTGTAATTCCCCCCCTCTGGGCAGTTCATATTCCCTCGCTTACCTTTGCAAGATGGAGACTTATTCCAGCATCTGTAATGGAAGAGAAGGCACACCACTGAAAATAGAGAATTATATGTTTTCAATGAAACTGCCTATTCAGTTTTTGTTCCCCTTTTCTATGGGAAATGATTAACCCGCAGCTGACGTGTGCCAGGTGCAATTATTAGCTCACTGCATGGGAATAATTTGCCTAGATGTGTGTTGAAACACCTGTGGAGCTTTCCTGAGAGCAGCCCTGAAGCATAATTTTGCTTGGGATTGTGCTGCTCCACTGAAAAAAGTGAGTAAACTGTGAGAGTGGTACATGTTTTCATACTGCTTAACTGAAAAAGTCACACCACCATATACCACAAGCCCAAACTGGCATACCTGACAATGTTGTAACCGTCTCCTCTTCACTTCTCTCGTCTCCTCCTGAGTAGTTTGGAAATAATGTTGTAGGGAACTATTTTAAGTTGGAGTTGTGTTTGTACAGTAGTTGGAAAATGGGTGCTCTTTTGAAACATTGAAAGTTAACACTTAGTGCTGAGTTAGAACATTTTCATTTGTAATTGCCTATCCCCAAAGTAGTCTGGAATTGTAGAGTGATTTTTGTAGCTATCATGGAATATACAGAGGTCAGTATAGTTGAAGGCTGTGGCTGGTAAGTGTTTTTCCTTCCTTCCCCTTCAATCTTCTGAAAAGAGTTGGAGAGAAGTAAGAGCTAAAATACGTAATGCCTATGGGACACAAAGTTTGGGTTGCAAAAGCCTATAGATTTTGAAGGCAAGAGGAAGGGAGGGAGGTAAAGTTTTACAGTTTTAAGATCCTAAGAAAGGAGACTTTTAGTGGGAGAGTGCCAATGAGGCCTTTTTCCAAAACAGATTTGAGATGTATGAAAATGAAATGCAGGGAATAAGATAAGAAAGTTGTGCTGATCATAATGATATCAATAAGAGAAGGCAAAAGAAAGATTGAGTGATGTTGGAGGTGATGGGTAAAAAATTTCCTCCATTAGATGCCGAGTCTTCTTGTATTTTGTCCAGAGATGTGTGTGATGGGCGCAGACACTATGAAAGATTTGGGCTTGCAGTAGGGTAATGGAGGAAAGTAAATGTTTAGCATGAAAGAGAAGATCAAGTTTCTTGAAGACAGTTTTGCAATGGAGGAGATGTGAGATTTTCTCACTGATTGTTCTGGTTCAGTGTCTTTCTCATGCTTGATTTGCCTGGTTCTCTACATTTTCTCCTTGCTTGTTTAATTTTCCTTTCCTTGTAAAGTTGCATCATGCTTGCATTGTTTTTATAGTTTCTGTCACTTTGGTTTTTATGCAGTTATGCTTTAGTTCAGTATAGCTTCGAGGACTAATTAGCATAGGATAAAACTATAATGGGGCTAAGCGTTAAAATATCTGTACAAAATTATATGCGTGAAGTTGTGTATATGTAACTGTCCTTCGGAAGGGACCAACGTCCATTCTACCTGTTAAGGTGGATTTTAAAGAACCCATGAAACTGAAAAGGGAAGGGAATTTCTCCAAGTAAATTTGGTCAACACTCCCCCAAATAAATTTGGTTACTCGCTTTATGGCTGGGAAATTGCTGTGCACAACTAGATGTTGTGTTTCATCCACTGTATATCCTGTGAAGCGCTTTTAGACATCTCAGTGACGTGATAAGGTGCTATGTCAACTGCAAGGATATTGTTATATCAAACCTCAGTCACTTACAAAACTTGAGAAGAATATTACTATACTCCTATTAGTGTTTTGACTCAAATTTTATATTAAAAAGGATGATACATTGAGTGCAATTTTGAGAGGGTTTTTCTCCACATTTTTTAAATGGAAGATGCATAGATACAAGCTATAAACTGTATAGTACAGTACTTTAATTAGATTTTAATTTAACTGATTATCCAATTCTGTTCTGTTTTCCTTTTCACCTTTGCTGCCAACAGCACTATGTCATCCACAAAATGTACATCACAAAATGTGTTTGCTGTTTCCTGCATGTGTCTGCAGCTTTCCTCTTTGCTCATGTGCTTCATCAAGGCTATTGATAGCGATGGGTCATCAATGACTGGGTTGATGAGCTGCTCATGTTTATTTCAAACCATGCTGTTCTTTCCTGCACTTTCACAAAATTCATGAAACATTCCATTTCATAATAAAAGCTCCTTAATGATGTTGCCTAAAATCAGTATGAGTGTAATATTTTCTAGAGTGTAGGTCTCTCTAAACTATTAACGGCCTGTTCGAAAATCACTGAAGTTAATGAAGCTGATGTGTTTGTTCAAAACTTTCTCTATGATATTGTGGAGTACAGTAATTGTTGCATGACCATTTTTAAATCCAGCCTGTTCTTCACGCATTCTCTTGTCTGCAGCCTTATTAATCCTATTCAGCAGCATGAGGTTAAATACCTTTCCTGGAAGTGATAGTAAGACTCCAGACCACCATCTCGAGCATTGAAATGGCAGCTGAATGGAAAAACAAGTGTGGAAGACCACGAAAAACCTGTCAAAGCACTGTAGAGAAACACCGTCTAGATGTTGACATCCCCTCCTGAGAAGACTTGCAGCAGCTAGCTGGATTCTAGTGGAGTGGAAGAGACTTGTGTTGGCCCTATGAGCTTAGGGTCCTACCAGACTGACATTGCACTTTATCTATGAATTTTGAGAAGGTAGAGTGTCTGATGCACCCCTCTCCCAGACATTCCAACCCACAAAAAACCTGGAGCTGAAAATTTGGCCAAAGGTGCAAAGTTTAGCCAAATTGGCTGAGGGAGTTGCTTTAAATCCCCCAAAAGCTTTAGAGTTCTAGATGAGTTCAGATTCAACTTGAGCCACATCTAGGACTCTGAGATGCTTCCAATTATGAAAGATTGGATACTCAAAGACCAAGTTTACAGTTTAAAAAAAATCAAGGTTTGGGTTGCCAAGCGACGAAGATCACATCCCCTTTCCCTTCAGAGATTTTCAGGTAAGTGTCCATAATATCCTTTGTTTCAGAGAAGCTGTGTTCAGTTATTATTTCACCTGGGAGCAGCATATCAAGTGTGTTACAGTCACAGCGGAGAAATAAAGATTCCACAGATACACAAAAAAAGTGAATATGAAAGACTTTATAGTCAGAAAAATGAGCAGAAGAGGATACCAGTGATTGAAGAGCGGGAGATTCCCACCACCAGAAGAGCGAGAGAATGAACTCCCAACAACAGACAAATAGAGGAAAAACTACACAAAATATCTTATTTCTTCCCTTTTCTGATTTATTTTCTTTACCCACTGCTCCCTGGCTTGTATTTCTTTACCACCCCTCCCTCTATTCCACACATTTACCTCATCCTGAGCAATTCTCTGAAATGGCTTTAAAGAACGACTTGACTTTAAGACATATCTGCTAGGGATTTAGGTTATAAACTTTCATTTGCAGTAATTCTGTTTTCCTCATAGTCTATTTCTTCTTCCTTCAACTCACTTAACTTTCAAGGCTCAACTTTTTTTGTTACCTTGCAACTGTTAAACTATTTGTTTCAGAGTAGGATTGGTCTGTCAATTCATTTACTGTAGTCGAGAGGATGCTGCCAAAGCTCATGTATTATGCAAAATAGTTCTGCTTACCAAGAATTGCTGGTACTTGCTATCCACCGAGCGAGGGCTCAAACCTGCGCTATGTAAATGGGGTCATTTTGCGGACTTATTTCTCCATAGTCATTTGTCTGGCAATCCAAGATAGGAAATGAATTGATCTTCTGTGGTGGTGTTTGTTATCTGGGTCCTCAACCAGGTGGGTCTGCAGTACTCTGAGGAAATGGTAGTGACTGATCAGGTAACCTGGGTCATTTAGATTAGGAGGGCCAGGGATTCTTCTCACTCATACCTGGTAACCCTGCAAGCCAAAGCCCTGACCTGTAGGTTAGTCTTAGCTGCTTAAAGCTGGAATTAAGGTAAGCAGGGTGTCCCTTCCCTCCATGGGAGATAGTGCAGTCTCCATACCAAACAAATGGAAAGAAACCATACATATATGAAGCTCTCAGATGTTTAGTTTGAGATTCACAAACGGATTGATGTGTGTGTTGAGGACCTAATTGACCAAAAAAAAAGTCTTGCTATGTTTCTCCTTTTATGCATTTTATGCCTTGGGGCATAAAATTGAAATATTTAATTAAATGGGGAATAGGTTACTTAATTGGTTGTAAAGAAAAAAAAATCACTCGGGAGCTATTTTTGGATTGAGTAACTGAGAAGAAAGCCTTGATTTTAGTCAATTTAAAGAGCAAGAGGATAACTGAAGTATCGTCATACAAGCGAGCAGATTATTATATGAACTACTGATGAATTTTTTGCCTGAGAGCATGGGTGTAGCTGCATTAAGTACATCACATTAGGGTGAGAGGAGAAGGTAGCCTGGCAGCACAGTGAAATATGAAAAGTTTGAAATTCTTGTGATCAATTTAAATGCAGTATTTTCACACTGGTCACTCTA